CAAGCCTGACATCATGCCATTTCCGCCGAGGATTCGGCCTTTCGACCCGGAGAGGTACCACCCTCAAGAGCACATCCTACCCCCGAGCACCTTTCATCATGTCACAGATTTTGCACGACGAGCACCCGCAGACTTGCTACTACAGGAGCTGAAGTCTCACTTGTCTCATCACGCGCGTGAGGTGCGTACTTCACTTTTACATTTTTTGCTATGTATTTTGTATTTCTTGCACATTTCATGCTTTCACTATGTATTATATCAGTTCGTTCTGAACACATTTACATACACAAGACTTTTACTCATACTAAACACAACTTACACACAACATTCTGTTCATTCTAAACAAGCTCATACGTAACATTCTGTTCATTCTACACACAGCCTACACACAGCACTCTGTTCATAATGCACAACTCATACCGTATTTCTACTCATTCTGAACACGGCCTATACACAACATTCTGTTCATTCTGAAACTGAATACATCTATTCATTTTGCACACGGCTCACACCCAGCATTCTACACACAACTCATACTGTATTTCTGCTCATTTTGAACATAGCTCGCACACAGCATTTTGTTCATTTTGAAACTAAATACATCTGTTCATTCTGAACGCGGGTAGCTTCCTGTTTCACACGGGGATATGGGTCGATTATCACGAGGGAGTGGTACATGGAGCTCCTAGAGAGTGTTCGACAGATTGTAGATGAGGTGGGGTTTGGCCTATTTTGTGTGGGATTGTTGCGTCTTCAGGCGAGCAGGACCCTCATGGGTGCACTGGTAGAGAGATGGTGGGACACCACCAACTAATTCCATTTCTCAGCCACCGGGGACATGATGATGACCCCGTACGACTTTTCCATGCTGACGGGCCCTGACGTGGGAAGTTGGCCAATCCCATATGACTTCGATATGGGTGAGTGGGAGGTAGCCTGGACCTATCTGCTCAGAGCCCTTCCGCCGATCTACAGATCATCATGCATGGTCAGATACATCTGGTTCACCGAGTAATACAGAGGTACTACGCCCGAGACTATCGAGGCCACGGAGCAGTATGCCCGGGGATTCCTGATGTTCCTTTTCGGGACCACACTGTTCTCCGGCAGGGGGAACATGGTCGGGCTATACCTCCTGAGTGCTCTAGTAGACCTATCACAGGTTCGGCACTTTGATTGGGGTGGGGCTTGCCTTGCTACCCTTTACTGCTATATGAGCGCGACCTCCCGCGGGCGGGGGACCATAGTAGGCGGCTACTGGAGAGCCTGGGAGGTACATTCTGCCCTCTTGATTTACATTTCTGCTTTTCATTATCTGTACACTGTAGACTCCGCACATTGCACACATTACATTATGTACTCTGCATTCTACATTTTTTGTACATTCTGTATTCTCATTGCCACAGTCTTGCCTTTCACAGCTGTGGGTTTGCGTCTACTTCCCGACGCTCGCCCCGATCCAGAGGTTGAGGAACCACTCGATGTGCCACACTCCTGCAGATTTGAGGGTCGATATCGGCCCAGGCCCCGAGAGACTCTGCCATATCTCAGACATTTCTTCGACACAGTACGGGCGACCGAGGTAATCCAGAACTCTCAATTCTTCATGCTTTCAGCTTTAATTCATCTTGTATATTTACGACAACTAATCAGTTTATGCACTTGCTATCTACAGATCACCTGGCAGCCTTGGACAGCGATGCCAGGGTTTGCTCAGTTCCAGTTTGCTGTGGCATGGGGCGCCTCCTGGTACCGAATTTTGTTTGAAGGACTAGTTGGTAGAGCCTGGTTTCTCGGGGAGCGCTTAATGTGCCAGACACATGGCTATCCCACTCAAGAGATCCCTTCACTACCTCCATTAGACATGCTAGCACAGAGAGTCTCACTCTCTAGGAGGTCAACAACCTTATGTTGTGTGCTGATGTAGTCCTTTTCTATGAGGAGGGGGAGTATACGACATACCTTCATACATACCTGATGCCCCCGCTGATAGGCGTCTGCACCCCCATGAGGAGAGCTGCTGACATTCCATCCTCGAGCCCCGCCTGAGCTGCAGACATCCCTTCGACTACCAGGGCCAGCACGTCGAGGGGTAGGACTAAAGGGATACCACCCACTTGGCAGTGTGCTGGGTGGCCAGATCCTTCGACCGAGTTGACAGGCTGGTGGTACGGGACACCTTACCAGATTCCATTAGAGGCTCTATTGCCAAAACATCGATATGTCAATGGTCCTGGCTTAGCATCGGTATGTTCCACAACTTTCATCTATCATTCAGATATTTAGACATTCATCCATTCATTCACTAATGACTTGAACTTGCATCTGCAGTGTAATAACCCAACCTTCGTAAATATTTCTGATATACTTTTAGTACCTTAGTCTGTGCATATTTATATGCTTACTGTGAAATTTCATGTGAAAGTAAGTTTAAGTGGGTGAATCCTATGAATATAGATTCATATCTGTCTAATAAGAGAACTATCTGTTACAACTATAATGTTTGGCTTAGAAATTGGAAGCCTTAGAGGCTTAATTATCTGAAATTGACTTTATATTTGAGATCAACATGATTTTTAGAGCATAATATGATTTTCTGTAAAAATTTGATTTAGAATGATAAAACTGATTGGATTTTGTCTTTATCCACCTTTTTATATATATACTTATGTCCTTTAAACATTTGACTTGGGGAATCCATTTCATAAATATCTCCTGGGAGAGAATTGGGGAAGAAAAACAAAGGGGAGAGAATTTCACCAAGGAAGAGATTGGGAATTTGAGAGGGTTTGTTGAGATTAAAACTCAAGGTAAATTTAATTCACCTTGTCCAACCTTTTCTTGGAGTTGAGTAAAAATCTCCTTTTATTCAAATCATCTAGGGTTTGCAATTTTATGTGTGTATGGTGGCTAATTGGCAAAATAAGTAGCAAAGATAATCTTATCATCATGATGTTTTGATTTAATTTGAACCATCTAGTGAGAAATTACATTTTATTTCTTTAATTATTACATTTGAGCTCATCTATGTAAACAAATGGCTATATGTATGTATATATGTGTGAGGAAGTTGGGAATTCCATGGAATTGGATTGTGTTTATGAGTTTTAAGAAACTAAAGGTTTGATTGAATGTGTAATCCATGTTAATGTGATAATTACACCATTATGTTGTCTTAACTCCTCCATTTTTAGGCCTTGACATATTGTAATTTAGTTGGGTTGTGCTTTGATTTCAGACTGCCCAAAATAGGGCAAATCGCCGTACGTGCGGGGGTCATGGCCGCACGTGTGGCAGCACTGCCGCACGTGCGGAGGTCATGGCCTCATGTGCCGAAAATGAAGGATTTTTGGTCTTTGGTACTGGAAAAAAGGCACGTGTGGGGCTTCACTGCTGCACGTGCGGGAACAACTGCCGCACGTGCGGGGCTCACAGCCGGACGTGCGGCCCATGCTGGAAAATTTTGTCCACTCCGTTTTTCGTGCTAGACCCTCTGATAATATTGAAATTTGTATTTGATGCCTTTAAATGTTTGTAAATTCGTTTGAGGCGGAACGAATCAAAAAATAATTTTTTTTAAAAAAAGGGAAAAGAACTAATTTGTGAATCATGTTTGTGTGTAGGCCATACTCCGAGAGGAACTATCGCTCCACCACAGCACTGTGAGTACTACTACTGTAGTTGTACATTTCCTTACTGTTAATAATTCTTGTTATTAACGCTTTGTTCTACGCAAGTTAATTATGTTAACACTGATAAATGATTGGAAAATCTGCGTACATTTGTACGACTCTGGAATTACTCTACTTTGTGGATATTTGGGCCTAAGGCCAATTTGTAAACTCTGTTGGGCCTGAGGCCAATCTATAAACTCTGTTGGCCTAAGGCCGATCTGTAAAATCTGCTAGGCCTAAGGTCATTCTGTATGTTACTAGGCTTAAAGCCTCTTTGTTTAAAGACTAGGCCCAAGGTCGTTCTGGAAATAGTTACAAAATTAGATTAATCATATGTTCTCTATACTTATACGCTTTATCAATCAAGCTAATCATTGAATTGTAAGTACTATTATTCACTGAGCCTGGCTCATTCTGTGTTATGTCTACTTCTGTAGGTAATCAACCTGGAGGTCAGTCCTAACCCATGACACTCGTTTCTCTTTTGTCAACCTCAGTGTGTCCAGGCACTTAGATGAAGCTCGCTCATTTTTGTGGAGTTTTGCTAAGCTTTTGGTTTTGTACTCTAATTGTCTGCCCAAGGTTGAAATGTATTTAACCCCTTTCTTCACCAATGTTTTTGTTATGCGTCCAATTATGGGGCTGGGTCTGTGTATGTATAATTACATAACTGATTCTCAGGTGTATGTTTACTATGTGTTTATCTACCTAATGTGATGTTATGATCCTGGCATATTAGTGATGGCTCAATGGATATTATTTATGTTATCAAATGCTTCCGTTAAGACCCCATATGTGATACAAACCGAATTTTACATCCGCTTCTGAATAGGTCATGCCTAAACTTTTAGGGGCGAGTTGAGGTGTGACAAGTGGTATCAGAGTACGAGTTGCTATCTCACACACGAACCCAATGAGCTTTAGGATGTCTAGAAAAGACTTAGGCGTCATGCATAATATTCTAAATGCATATGGAAAGGTTGATGGCAACGTTAAATGTAATCCACTAACGCTAATGATTATGATCCATGTCTATTGTATATTCCTTGGGTATATTGTAATTGATTGTCATGTAGAAAATGGTGAGAACAAGAACGGAAGACCAGGAAGATGTTACTTCTGCATGGTTAGAAAGAATGGAAAGAATGATTATGGAAATGGCAGAGACCGTACAACAGCAACAGCAACAGCCACAACCACAACCGCCGCCACCACCGGTACCTCCGCCTGTGGTACAAGATTTTCATGCTGAGGACCGAACTATCACACTTACGAGGGAATTTAAGAAGATGAAGCCACCCTCATTCAAGGGAGGAATAGAACCCGATGAAAGCTGAAGCATGGGTGTTGGGAATAGAAAAGTTGTTTGAAGTATTTCCCTATACCGAAGCCCAGAAAATGCAACTTGCTGCCTTCACTCTTGAAGATGAAGCACGAAGATGGTGGATGCTTAAGAGGACTATACACCAGGGATTGACATGGGATAGGTTCTTGGAACTGTTTTATGATAAGTATTTTCCACAACGCATGCGAGATAAGAAGGTGACAGAATTTGAAACCCTCAGGCAAGGCAACAAGACCGTTGCGGAGTATGAAGCCCAATTTGCAGAACTAGCTCGATTTGCACCTCATATGGTGGATACAGATTATAAGAAAGCTCGAAAATTTGAAGGGGGATTGCGGAATGCTATCCTGGACCGAGTCAATATGTTGAAGCTACCTACCTATGTCGATGTGTTGGAGAGGGCTATTATAGCAGAGGGAAACATTGCTGCTCAGAATCGGATTTTCGAGTAGAAAGGAAAGAGGTAGAACATTCAGATATCAAAGGGGTCAGCTGCTCCACCAAGCAAGAAAAAAAATTCAAGGACTTCTAGTACTTCCACCTTCACTTTAGATTCAACTCCTATTTGTTCAGAATGTGGCAAGAAGCATCGTGGGACTTGCTATCAGATGTCTGGAGCCTGTTTTAGGTGTGGCAAAATGGTTCATCTAGTAAAGGATTGTCCTCAAAAAAATCAAAAAAATGATAATAGGGCTGCTACAAGTTTAGCAGGGTCTACACCAGCTCCCAATACTAAGTCGGCTGCCAAACCTGTTAATAATAAAGACACCGCAAGACAATGCAGGGTGTTTGCATTGGTTCCGGGAGATGTGTAAAATGCTGTAACAGTGGTGTCAGGTATATTTATTGTTCACGGTCATTCTGCTCATGTATTGTTTGATTCTGGCTCTACCCATTCCTTTGTGTCAAAACTATTTGCTCAAAATTTAGATAAATCTGAAGAAGCATTATCTTATATACTATGTGTGTCTTCACCTTTGGGAGACTCTATGGTCTGTACTTCTGTATATTTTGCTTGTGAACTCCTAATTGGGGATATCCGGGTATATGCCAACTTATTGCCTCTTGACATGACTCACTTTGATATCATTGTGGGTATGGATTGGCTGAGTGAATATTGTGCAACTATTAACTGTTTGACTAAGCAAATCAATTTCCATCCTCCGGGACAATCAGAATCTACTTTTCAGGGACGTGGAGTGACTTCTCCACCTTATTTGATTTATGCAGCAAAGGCTTGTAAATTAATCCAGAAAGGGTCTCAGGGGTATTTATGCACTGTTTTGGAAGGGCAAGTGATGAATGGGAGTACTGACATGATTCCAGTTGTTTGTGAATTTCTAGATGTTTTTTCGGAAGAGTTACTGGGGGAGTTAGTGGACCGTGAAATTGAGTTTACAATTGAAGTGGCACCGGGAACTCAACCCATTTCTAAAACTCCGTATAGAATGTCACCAGTTGAGATGAAGGAATTAAAGATTCAGTTACAAGATTTACTGGATAAGGGGTTCATTTGCCTGAGTGTCTCTCCTTGGGGTGCACCAGTTCTGTTTGTGAAAAAGAAGGACGGAACACTCCGATTATGTATAGATTACAGGGAACTTAATAAAGTGACAATCAAGAATAAGTACCCATTACCCAGGATCGATGATTTGTTTGACCAGCTACAAGGGGCACAAATCTTTTTGAAAATCGATTTACGGTCCGGATCCCATCAATTAAAGGTCAAAGCCGACGATGTTGAGAAAACAGCTTTCCGAACTCGATACGGCCATTACGAATTTCTCGTTATGCCCTTCGGAGTTACTAATGCACCAGCAGCGTTTATGGATTTGATGAAACGTGTCTTTAAGCCTTATTTGGATGAGTTTGTGGTGGTATTTATTGATGACATCCTCATTTACTCGAAGAACATAGAAGCTCATAAGAATCATCTTCGTGTAATTCTTCAAACACTCCGAGAAAAGAAATTGTATGCAAAGTTGAAGAAATGTGAGTTCTAGCTACATGAGGTGGCATTCTTGGGGCATGTAACAACAAAGGAAGGTGTCTCTGTTGATCCACACAAAATTGAGGCGATCGTGAATTGGCCAATTCCTACCAATGTGACTGAGGTGCGTAGTTTTATGGGACTAGCCGGGTATTATAGGAGGTTTGTTCAAGACTTCTCCAAAATCGCTGTACCGTTTACACAATTGACTCAGAAGGGGATTGTATTTGAGTGGTCAGAATAGCAAGAATCTGCTTTCCAAGAGTTAAAAACAAAGTTGACAACAGCCCCGGTTCTAACACTACCATCTGGTATCGAAGGATTTGTAATCTACAGTGATGCTTCTTTTAAAGGACTTGGTTGTGTGCTTATGCAAAATGGAAGAGTCATCACCTATGCTTCTCGACAGCTCAAACCCCATGAAAAGAATTACCCCATACATGATCTTGAGCTAGCAGTAGTGGTTTTTGCTTTAAAGATATGGCGGCACTATCTATATAGGACTACTTGTGAAGTTTATACTGATCATAAGAGCCTCAAGTACCTTTTCACACAAAAGGAGTTGAATATGCGACAGCGGCGATGGTTGGAACTTATTAAGGATTATGATTTGTAGATCCACTACCATCCTGGTAAGGCCAATATGGTCGCAGATGCACTAAGCCGGAAAGGCACGGGAAATTTGGCAAATCTGTTTACGGAACAAAGAGAGTTATGGGTTGAATTAAATAAAATGGATGTAGACCTTGTGGTGCATGGACGGGAGGCCATAGTAGCAGCAGCGATGGCCCAACTGACATTACTTGAAGAGATCAAACTACGTCAAAGGGAAGATGAAATTTTGAGGAAGATATATGATGAGTTAGAGACAAAACCGAAACCGGGATTCAACTTGGAGAATTCAGTGCTTAAATTTCAAGGCAGATTATGTGTTCCTAATGTATCAAAAGTCAAACGGAAATTGATAGAAGAAGCTCATGCCTCGAGATTTTCATTACATCTTGGAAGTACTAAAATGTATTGGGATTTGAAACAGAATTTCTGGTGGCCAGGTATGAAAAAGGAAATCACGGATTTCATCTCCAAGTGTTTGCAATGTCAGCAAGTAAAGGCAGAGCATCAGAGACCGGCCGGGTTATTGCAACCCCTTCCAATCCCGGAATGGAAGTGGAAACATTTGACCATGGATTTTGTTGTAGGGTTACCACGGACTCTTCGGTGTATGAATTATCTATGGGTCATTGTGGACCGATTAACTAAGTCCACTCACTTTCTACCTGTGAAGACTCAGTATAATGCAGATAAACTCGCTGCAATCTATGTGAATGAAATTATAAGACTCCACTGTGTTCTAGTCTCAATAGTATCAGATAGAGATCCAAAGTTTGTATCTAGATTCTAGCAGAGTCTACAGGGAGCAATGGGTACAGAATTAAATTTTAGCACAGCTTTCCACCCTTAGACAGATGGACAATCCAAGAGAATAATACAGACATTGGAAACTATGCTTCGAATGTGTGTTTTAGATTTTCAGGGAAGTTGGGAAACTCATTTACCGTTGGTGGAGTTCGCGTACAATAATAGTTACCATTCGAGTATTGGAATGGCACCTTATGAGGCCCTATATGGAAGGCCGTGTCGCTCCCCGGTGTGTTGGGCTGAAGTTGGAGATAAATCGCTATTAGGGCCTGAAATTGTCCAACTGACAATTAAAAAGATTAAAACTATTCGGGAATGATTAAAAGTTGCTCAAAGCAGATAGAAGAGTTATGCGGATAACCGATGGAAGGATTTGGAATTTGAGGTCGGCAATCATGTTTTTGTGAAAGTCATTCCAACAAAGGGGCACCCAAGATTCGGAAAGAGAAACTAGGTTCTGTGGCTTACCGAATTGCCCTCCCTCCAAATATGAGTCAAGTCCATAATATGTTCCACATTTCTATGCTTTGAAGTTACCTTCCGGATCCATCTCATGTCATTGATCACCACCAAATTATTCTAGTTGATAAGTTAAATTATACAGAAAAGCCAATTCGAATTCTAGATCGGCAAGTGAAACAACTACGAAACCGAGAGATTCCGATGGTGAAAATAGAATGGCAGGAACACTACGGAACCGACGTTACTTGGGAAAAAGAAGAGGAAATGCAACACCAGTATCCGCATCTGTTCCTACCCTAAGGTAAAACAAGTTTGAGGGACCAAACTTATTTAAAGGGGGGGAGAGTGTAATAACCCAACTCTCGTAAATATTTCTGATATACTTTTAGTCCCTTAGTCTGTGCATCTTTATATGCTTACTGTGAAATTTCATGTGAAAGTAAGTTTAAGTGGGTGAATCCTATGAATATAGATTCAAATCTGTCTAATAAGAGAACTATCTGTTACAACTATAATGTTTGGCTCAGAAATTGGAAGCCTTAGAGGCTTAACTATCTGAAATTGACTTTATATTTGAGATCAACATGATTTTTAGAGCATAATATGATTTTCTGTAAAAATTAGATTTGGAATGATTAAATAGATTGGATTTCGTCTTTATCCACCTTTTTATATATATACTTATGTCCCTTAAACATTTGACTTGGGGAATCCATTTCATAAATATCTCCTGGGAGAGAATTGGGGAAGAAGAACAAAGGGGAGAGAATTTCACCAAGGAAGAGATTGGAAATTTGAGAGGGTTTGTTGAGATTGAAACTCAAGGTAAATTTAATTCACCTTTTCCAACCTTTTCTTGGAGTTGAGTAAAAATCTCCTTTTATTCAAATCATCTAGGGTTTGCAATTTTATGTGTGTATGGTGGCTAATTGGCAAGATAAGTGGCAAAGATAATCTTATCATCTTGATGTTTTGATTTAATTTGAACCATCTAGTGAGAAATTACATTTTATTTCTTCAATTATTACATTTGAGCTCATTTATGTAAACAAATGGCTATATGTATGTATATATGTGTGAGGAAGTTGGGAATTCCATGGAATTGGATTGTGTATATAAGTTTTAAGAAACTAAAAGTTTGATTGAATGTGTAATCCATGTTAATGTGATAATTATACCATTATGTTGTCTTAACTCCTCCATTTTTGGGCCTTGACATATTGTAATTTAGTTGGGTTGTGCTTTGATTTTGTATTGCCCAAAACAGGGCAAATCGCTGCACGTGCGGGGGTCATGGCCGCACGTGCGGGAGCACTGCCGCACGTGCGGAGGTTATGGCCGCACGTTCGAAAAATGAAGGATTTTGGGTCTTTGGCTACTGGAAAAAAAACACGTGCGGGGCTTTACTGCCGCACGTGCGGGAACAACTACCGAACGTGCGGGGCTCACAGCCGCACGTGCGACCAATGTTGGGAAATTTTGTCCACTCCGTTTTTCATGCTTGACCCTCTGATAATATTGAAATTTGTATTTGATGCCTTTAAATGTTTGTAAATTCGTTTGAGGCAGAACGAATCAGAAAATGATTTTTAAAAAAAAAAAGGAAAAAGAACTAATTTGTGAATCATGTTTGTGTGTGCGCCATACTCCGGGAGGAACTATCACTCCACCACAGCACTGTGAGTACTACTACTGTAGTTGTACATTTACTTACCGTTAATAATTCTTGTTATTAACGCTCTATTCTACGCAAGGTAGTTACGTTAACACTAATAAATGATTGGAAAATCTGCGTACATTTGTACGACTCCGGAATTACTCTACTTTGTGGATATTTGGGCCTAAGGCCAATTTGTAAACTCTGTTGGGCCTGAGGCCAATCTGTAAACTCCATTGGCCTAAGGCCGATCTGTAAAATCTGCTAGGCCTAAGGCCGTTCTGTATGTTAGTGGGCTTAAAGCCTCTCTGTTTAAAGACTGGGTCCAAGGCCGTTCTGAAAATAGTTACAAAATTAAATTAATCATATGTTCTCTGTACTTATACGCTTTATCAATCAAGCTAATCATTGAATTATAAGTACTATTATTCACTGGGCCTGGCACATTCTGTGTTATGTCTACTTCTGTAGGTAATCAACCTGGAGGTCAGTCTTAACCCATGACACTAGTTTCTCTTTTGTCAACCTCAGTGTGTCCCGGCACTTAGATGAAGCTCGCTCATTTTTGTGGAGTTTTTCTAAGCTTTTGGTTTTGTACTCTCATTGTCTGCCCAAGGTTGAAATGTATTTAACCCCTTTCTTCACCAATGTTTTTGTTATGCGTCCAATTATGGGGCTGGGTCTGTGTATGTATAAGTACATAACTGATTCTCAGGTGTATGTTTACTGTATGTTTATCTACCTGATGCGATGTTATGATCCTCGCATATTAGTGATGCCTCAATGGATATTATTTTATGTTATCAAATGCTTCCATTGAGGCCCCATATGTGATACAAACCAAATTTTACGTTCGGTTCTGAATAGGTCTTGGCCAAACTTTTAGGGGCGAGTTGGGGTGTGGCATGTAGCCTCCCAGAGGATATGTTGAGGGGTTGCTTGAGGCGATGGCCTCACTTGAGGGTATGGTCTTGTGGAGGGAGACGATGCTATATGCTCACAACATTCCAGTACTTTTCAATTTCCTTACATTTATCATACTTCTGATGACATATCGAAACTGAACATTTCACTACACTGATTTACTGCATGTATGGAACACATCTGGCACATCACATTCTCATACTATATCTGCATACACTTACCCTATGCACCATACTTGCATCTGATATACATACTCTGGCTGATGTATGAAAACTGTCTTCTCAGGTCACACCTCTATAGCCCGGGCCTTCTCGAGTAGCAGGGAGAGGGATCCCGACAAGCGGCCGGGGGAGACATCGAGCACCTGCCAGACGCGATGATGAGTCCAGTGAGGAGGAGGAGTCAACGTATCCTCAGTCAGAGACATCCGTGGGCAGAGGTGATGACACCGGTTCCGGTTCTAAGGGCGGAGACAACGCCGAGGAGGATTCCGAGGATGGCAGCTCCGGTTCAGATGGTGGTGCCGATGACGGTGGTGCAGAGGCTGCTCAGCCGAAGCAGGTGAAGAGGGCCTCTCGATCTTGAGTCAGATAGCACCGACGCAGATGCTCTTTCTTTGTTTTCTTTTGACTTGTAGTTGTAGCCCATTACATACCGTTAGGCAATTTTATTTTCTTTAAAACTTGTACCATGTTGTAAAAAGAAAGCATGATGGAATGAAAATAGCTTTTTGTTCAAAAGGTGTTGCACTTGTATTCTAAGCATTGCATTGCATCATTTTGCACAAATATGAGATTAATTGAAAATTGAACATCGTGTATTGCCAAGTCAGGTAGTGAACCAACGTAACAAACAAAACAACTTAACTTAATAAGAAACAACAAGACCTTAACAAGTTTACAACTCGATAAGCAAAGAGCAACAACTCGATAAACAAAGAGCGACAACTCGATAATCAAAGAGCAACAACTCGATAACCCAAGAGTAACAAATCGATAAGCAAAACTAAACAACTCGATAACCAAATGCATGTTGGACAAACAAAGCAACTGGACGCATCCAAAACAGAAGTAAACTCAGACCTTTAGCATTTTCAGCACATAGGAAGGCTAGGGACTCTCTTCTGGAGACAAGAAATGGTTGCAGACCACTTTTTTGCTCACTGTCGACCACTAACATAGCTTGCCGACCACTTTTATGGTCTGCAAACTAGAAAATGTGGCTGGTCGACCAGAAAAAGTGGTCGGCCGACCAGTTGGCCTGGGGACCTCCAGATTTTGGCCACATGTCCTCTAAACAGTGCCTTATTCTCCATAAAGGTTCCAGCTTCGTGGCTTCCTCATTCTAACTCGGTTTTGCACCAAATGGAGGTATTTCTCATCCAAAATCTCACAAATCGGATTGCTAACTTGGATGGCTCAAAAAAACTAAATTTTCGGGGCATTGGAATAAATGCACTATTCACGTTGAGCCGCACCCCGCTACGTTTTCCGTTCCTCCATGCCGCGGCAAGGTGTTGGAATCCGGTAACCCAGGTTTTTAGCTTTGGCGGACAAGAGATGTGTCCCACTTTCAAAACCTTCCAAGCTTTGATGGAATCTGAGCGTGATGAAGAAATCTTGCCCCAATTCCGCTTCGGCCACGTCCAAGCCTTAGGACAGATGTGAGGGCTCACTTTGCATGACGCTCGGTCATTGATTCGCGACGAAGAGCTGGACATTCCGAGCTTTATTCGTCAGTTTTCTGATTCCGGTGACCGCGACGATCATTCCTGGCAGGGTTTTCGACGACATGTGCTTTGTCTGTGCATGTTGTCTCATTTCTTGCTTGCCCCAGGCTTCGGAGGGTCTAGCGTCCATTTGATTGACATTGCCCAAGGCTTAAAAGAGGGCAAGAGCTACATTGCCATGACGCTAGCTGAGACACTGATGGGTTTGGACGCTTTCCATCACCGAGAGACAACTAGATTCGCGGGGAGTCCACTACTGCTGCAGGTAGTGTTTCCTACCCTATCTCACATATATTTCTCACATCACTCGGCCCTCAAGCTCGGTTTTTCTCTCAAAACCCTTTTCTCACTTTTCTCTCCACGTACACCTCTCTATTCTTTAATCTCTCATTTTTCATCCCTCCCAAGATATGGTAAATGGATAAGTTGAAGGTTGTGGACTCATGCCTAGCATATTCCACTCGCGACTATTTCTTCCGGCGACGTCTAGTCGATGCCCCTGATGAGGGATGGTGGTGCGAATGGATGTGTAGTTTTTTCACTGATC